ATCACATCGCTGGGTAGACACAAACTGACGGATATCCGTCTTGAGCATGCTCAGATAACGGGTCATCTGAGCCTGCTCTGAAGCAAACTCCGGGAAAAACATAGCCCTCTCAGTGAACATCCGGGTGATCTCCGTCACCGACTCTCCATCCTGTCTCAAACTCATAAACTCATGTGCCAAACGTTCCCGCTCAACCCGCGAAGGTGTAGCGGGCGCGGAACATGTCCCTGAACTGCTCCCAAGTAACAACAGCTCTCTGATCATCAGTGTACGACCCAGTCGCAAGTCTCCACCAATCCTTGGCCCCAGACCTAAGCAGGTTCAGAGCACACCTGACCTTCTGGTCAGCAGGACACGAGCAGGTGAAGAAATACCCCTCCACATCTGAAATCCATCTTATAGCCTTGATGGGATCCTGCGTCCCATCAAAAGTAGGGGGCTTCGTGTTATCGAAGTCGTGTAATGAAAACCTCTACCAACTCCTCCCCATGCCGCTGATACAGCTGATGCAGCTGTTGCGGCGGCTGTCTCTGCAAGGGCTGCGTAGCGCTCATCAAAATACTCCACCATGGCGGTCTTAATCGACCCGAATATCTCCGGTAACTGAGCCCGGAATGCAGCAGCAACCTCATCATGCAGGATCTCTCGAATCCTAGCATCCAACTCCTCTGTACCCATCTGCACCACCGGTTCAGGTGCTGTCGGCCCCTCCTGGCCTCTGTCCCCTGATCCTGATCCCGAACCGGATCCAGCCACGAAGCGCCTCGTCATCACCATTCTGAAACATACCACAAGATATCAGATAATCCATATAAATAATTGGGAGCCAACTCCCTACTAACCCTAGGGGTTGTGACTTCCTTGCTACGCGTATGGGTCCTGTGCTTTCAGTAGTATGGGCCCCTACTACCTTCCACACCTACCCACATTTGTCTCAAGTATCACCGCAACGCCCTAACTAAATACACAACATGTCGAGTGCTCAATCCTCACTCCTAGAGGAATGCTAAATATTTCATAACTGGCCTACCGGCCTCTCACATAACCCACATATCCATGAAACTTCCACCAACCCTGCAGTACTAGTGTGTGCTAGCCACACACATAATGCTGGACCCTATAGACTTTCGAATATCCAATCCTACCCTAAGCTCCCAATCAAACAAGAACAGAACATAAGGCCAAATCAAACATTCTCAGGCTATAAGATCTTAATTATGTATAACCGTGATGCATACACTAAGCAACTACAGTAATGATGTCAATCTCATATAAAGGAAACCCTAGGCTAGCAGGCATCATGTAATCAGACAATTCTATCATGCAATTCCTGAAGATCCCTAGCCTAGTGCTAACATGCTGTTCTAACATATCTCATAATCAAATAACTTGTATGGTATTTTGGGGTCTACTTACTGGCTCCGGCTGATCATACACCCTGCATCCTCCTTTACTTATTTTGAAAACCATTTTAGAATTCATTTTGAAAATCTTTTCCTTGATTTGAGACTGGAGTCACACGAGTGTTCCTCCAATTCACTCAAACCCAGGCTCTGATACCAACTTGTAACACCCAATAATTTCAAACAAATTTAAACTTTTTAAAACATGTCAAGTTCATCAAAACATTACAACTTTGTTTTCAAAATATTATTTATCAGAGTATTCCCAGAAACATAAACATAATATGAGGAGTTGTACGATCATGCCTTCGCCTTGCCGCGATCCCCTGATGTACCTGAAACAATAAACTGAAACTGTAAGTCCGAAAGCTTAGTGAGTTACCCCCAAAATACCGATACACATACAGTCCACCTAACCATATCAGTAATAACATATCATAACAAACTGAAACAGCATACAATGGGTCCACAGCTTTACGAGTTAGATTACCCCTGGGCCCTCAGTACGAGTCTGGAATGCCTACCGGGCCCTCAGCTCGTATCTGCAATGCCATCGAGCCCTCAGTACGAGTCTGGAATGCCTACCGGGCCCTCAGATCGTATCTGGAATGCTCTCGAGTCCTCAGTATGAGTCTGGATTGCCTTGCCCGGCCCTCAGCTCGTATCTGGAATACTCTAGGGTTTGTTGGCTACCGCACGGAGCAGTACAACCTCAACCCATCCCACATAACATGTAACATATAACATAACTACTGAGCATGCAATAATCATATAACATCATAGGTAGTCCTACAGATCTACCTAACTGGAATAACCACTAACATGCAACACTAACTCATACTCAACATCTAACACTGATAGGATAACATATCCAATGGGCCGGCCTTGGTGCCTTAGACCCCTTAGTATAGTGAGGATAACTCACCTTGCAACTGTCGTCTGAAACTAGAAAGCTCAACTCCCGGATCACCAACACGAGCTCCACCACCTTCCAGAGAGTGACAACTGATGGATCTCTTAGCTCCCCACGAGTTCCTAGCCTTGATTTCCTTGCTTCCCCAAGTGTTTCCTTCTCCAAAGTTCCTCCTTCAAGCTTGAACACACCAAAGAACACACACACACACACACGATTTAGGGTTTGAGAGGGACAAGGGGCAGTAAAGGGAAGACTGGGGGAGGCCAATGATCCTTTAAATAGGGTGCAAAACCCCGAGATTTAGGGTTTTATCTGCCAGCTCCTACTCATCGAGTCCCTTCTTGGACTCGGCGAGTAGGTCATTAAAATACGTGGACCAACCCGCTGCTACTCGACGAGTAGGGCAATCAACTCGTCGAGTAGCCCTTGAAATCAAGAACTCACACATTAAATCAATACCTGAGAATCGGGGCGTTACAAAGTATGTAAGATTGTATTAGTTTTTAGAAAATTGTTTTGCATTAAATTCAAAGCGAGTGAATTAATATGTTTATTAAACTGTGAATGTAGTATTTAAGTATAATATAATAAATTTATATTTTAATACACATAAATGCTTCCAGATAAAATCCTGGCACCACTCAGCCCTTGTGGCCATGAAGGTTTCGCCTGCAGTTACTCCAGGGCATGAGGCAAAGCCTTATGTTTGCAGCGGGGGATTAGTCGGTGCGCGAAAGCTGGCCCGGAAACCTTCGTTAGGGAAGTTCCCTTTCCAAAAAATGCTTCCAGATATGAATGTATAAATATAAGTTTTAAGTATAAGTTTTAAGTTGAGAATATGAATGTGAATATATAATTGTGTATTAAACTGTTAATTTATTGTATTAAATTGTCACTTTTATATATTAAACTATGAATGTTCTATATGAAGTTATAAATAAAAGTTTTAAGTTAAGAATATATAACATTTATGTGTATTAAATTATGAATTTGTTATATTAAGTTGTGAATTTTGTGTATTAAACTGTAATTTACTGTATTAAGTTGTGAATTGACTGTCTTAAGTTGTGAATTTTTTCATAGTTTTGTGTTAAAATATTATGTATGAATATTTGTATTAATTTTCTTATGAATATATTTATTTTTATGTTGTATAAGTATATAAGAATGTATTAGTCTTTAGATAATTGTTTTGCATTAAATTGAAAGTGAGTGAATAAACAAGTTTATTAAACTGTGAATGAAGTGTTTAAGTTGTAAATGCATGACTTTGTATACAAATATGATTTTGAATGAATGCTGGCTGTAACGATGGCACAAATGGTTGTTGGCAGCATGTGTAACATCCCAAAAATCAAGACATAATTTTTTTTGTTTTTAGGTTAATGAAGTGTTAATACATATCTTTCCCATAAGACCAAGGTAAACAAGTTTTAGCTAAACATCATTAAAATCAGAGTAATTCACAAAATGCGGAAACATGTGGTGTGTGCTCTGCAATCATTCCATTTGAAAACCAGAGTACCTGAAACATAAACTGAAAACCGTAAGCACAATGCTTTGTGAGTTCCCCAAAATACCATGCAACATACAACCATAAATTATCATGCAACATACATATAGTTGTCATGGGCTCCCCCCATGGTCTTTATCTGGAATACCATGGGCTCCTCCCATGGTCTTTACCTGGAATGCCATGGGCTCCCCCATGGTCTGATATCCAAATGTCACGGGCTACCCTCGAGGTCTTACATGCAAGTATCATTGAGACAACTAGCATATCACATAATTCGTAATGGGATGACATTGGTGTCTTCGACCCATGGATATAGTGAGAAGACTCACCTCACACTGTCGAATCAAGCAGAAAATCCTTGGCTGCTAGCTGATAGATCCCCAAACTATTCAAGTCAAAACAACACCCCATTAACAATTGAGTTCCAATCCATAACCATAAATCCATTACTAGGATAAATGACCAATTTACCCCTCACTTACTTTTGGACCAAGACTTAGGCCCAAACCTAATAGTCCATAAGGCCCAAATACCAAAAGCTACCCAAGGCCTATATATATATATATCTATATATATATATATATATATATTATATATATATATATATATATATATATATATATATATATATGTTGTATGCATGTATGTATGTGGTTGGAGAAAGTTGCATGTCGTAAAGGGATTTGTTAATTATAAAATAAGGGTTGTGCATATACTATATTTGTTGACGTATTGTGACCATAAGATGACTTCTATTACACACACGTACACAAGAAAGTGTACGCGAAGTCTCTTTGTTGTGTCTACACCAAACTTATCAACCCGGCAAGACAGTAACCTTGTTCTTCGTCCTCATTAATTCATCCAATAATACATTAATATATGATTTTAACTCATAATTTATCCTAAAAACTTGTCCATTTTGGTGAAACAACACAGACGGGTCTTACTTATCATATTTAAGCAACGTGACGTGATTTACTACTTACTAGCTAGCTACTAGATTCTTAACATTTTAGATTATGTTAATCAAAATATTGCTTCCAGTTTAACTCAACAATATTAGAAATCGATATGTATATTGATGATTAAAACACACAATATGTATAAGTGCCAAAAAAGGGAATTTGAGAAATAAAGTAATTGTTTCGTATGGGTTTCTTTTCTCTCAGGAGGAAGCAACCAACCTTTAAATGCTTTCTGTTTTTTTCAGTTTTGTTTCTGTTCTTTTTTCTTACTTGCACTAAACCTTTACGGACACCTTTTTATATAAGTAAACGCAAAGTTATTATTTTTAGAATAGAACAAAACAGAAAACAGAGACAGAAGAACTTAAGGTGTTATCTCATCTATGATCTATGGCTTTCTTTTACATGAAGATGATGAACAGGTTTGATACTTTTTCTAGAACTACCTGTCAATTTTTGTCAAGTTAATTACATGTACGTTAATTGTTAAGTCCTTATACGTTTTAAGGTACATAGTTGTTTGGTATAATCAATTGATGATCATCAAGTAGTTATTCACGATAACATCAAGGTGATCCATGATCATGAGTTCGAATTTGGAATAGTGAGAAGATTTTCTCTTTTTTAATATGTGTTTTACGTATTTCGTTAAAGGAAATTTGTTGTACTCATGGTGTCGTTTATAGATGATAAGCTAGAATTCTTGAAACGATGCTATGAGTTGTTTTGTGCTATTTGAAGTTTTGATTAGTGTTTGTTTCTTGTTGAAAGTTGATGATGATGTTTTAGAGCTTATAATTTAATTAGTAAAGCTTAACTTGTAATTAAATTAAATATATGCATTGCAATTGCAGTGAGTGCACCCATGGGTCGAATCCATCACGATTGTTTTTAGGGACATCAACGCCATTAAATTCACTTGGGTCAAATCCGAACCCGAATCGGAGCCCCATCAACAAAAACCGGGTCCAAATCCCCCACGCCAGTCATCGCGCCTCTTCATATGGTACGACGTTTCAAATCTTATTCTGACTTCGAAGTTCGAATGTCAAACCATATATTAAACCACAAATATTTGGATACTAAACACTTTCTATTCGTGACAGTTGCTTCTTTTGCTGCTTTTGCAATGCTGACTCGAAGTGTCGCGAATGATGTTCTAACCGTCGGTAAAGAACTACGTACCCTCGCAGACGAATTCATCCCACGAGAGTATCAAGATTACTACATCCACGAAATGAAAAAGATCATCCGAAACAAAGATAGCGAGTTCATAATTGTCATAGACGAATATCAAGCACAATCCAACACCACAGATGAAATGTATCAAGCAGTTGAAACCTATTTAGGCACTAAAGTGAACGAATCGTGTATTCGAAAGGTTAATGTGTGCAAAAACAAGGAAACATTGGCTATTACTATGAACGAAGATGAAGAAATCATCGATGAATACGATGGGATTCAAGTTAAATGGAGATCAACAACAAAAACCGAAGTAGGTAATGTACAATCAGGATTGAAATCTTACGAGTTAACTTTCCACAATCGACATAGATGCAAGATCCTTGAGTCATACTTGCCGTTCATTTTGAAGCGATCTGATGAGATTAAAGCCGAAGAAAGTGGATTAAAGCTTCATATGATCGACGCCGATTATCATGAGTCAAAAACTGTCATTATTGATAACCCGATGACCTTCAAAACCCTAGCAATTGAGCCGGAGCTAAAGAAGATGATTATGGAGGATTTAAACAATTTCAAAGATGGAAAGGAATACTATCGACGAATCGGTAAGGCATGGAAGCGAGGTTATCTGGTCTACGGTTCTTCTGGCACAGGAAAATCCAGCTTGATCGCATGCATGGCTAATTATTTAAACTACAATATCTACGACATAGACCTTACAGACGTTGATTCAGACTCTCAACTTAAAAACATTTTGCTAGAAATGCCTAGCAAATCGATACTTGTGTTTGAAGATTTCGATCAACTTAAAAATCAAATAGGAGAAAAGACTTGTTCGAGATTGTTTAACTTTATGGATGGGATTTGGTCGTGTTGTGGAGAAGAACGAATCTTTATTTTCACAACCAAATCTATAAATGCACTTGACCCCACATTACTTCGTCCAGGGCGAATGGATATGCATATTCATATGTCTTATTGCACATTTTCAGCATTCAAACAGCTGGCTTTTAACTATTTGGAGCTCGAAGATCATCGACTCTTTAAAAGAGTCGAAGAGTTGTTGCAAAGTGTAAACGCCACACCTGCTGAAGTTGCGGGAGAGCTTATGAAGTACAAAAAAGATGTGACTATGTCACTCGAGAAACTTATTGCCTACCTCGAGAAAAAAACGAGGTTGTAACATGTGACACGTTGCAATGAAGGACTACGACATCCCTTGTTATGTGAATATAGTAGATTATTAGTTTTACAACACAAACAAAAACAATAGTTTTTAAGGACAATGTCAATAGTAAAATACTAACAAATTTTCATTTGCTGTATTGTTCTATATTTTTCATACATAGCTAGTTATTGTATTTTACAAAAAAAAAAAAAAAAATTGTCGGTTAGGCGATATAATTGAAAACATTTTGACTTTCTTGAATCATTTCATTAACACGTTGGTTTAATACAAGATATTAAACCATGTGCAAAGTATTATGTTAATGTAAAATTAACAAAGTACGATACTACTAAATCATGTGCGAAGTATATTGATAAAAATCAATGAAAGATATTTGCAAAAATATAAGGATGATTGTTTGTATTTTGTTGATTTTAACTATTATAATATGTAAATTGTTTATTATTGCTTTGTTAAAGAACATTAGCGATGAAATGACCGAAAAGTCAAGTTGTTTCTTAACCAAATACATAAATAAGATATGTTTTCGATGAGTAGATATGTTAAAAAAACTCAAATTATAATTTAGGTTATTACTGTATTCTATTTTATATTAAGTTTTCGAGGTTTTTTTTTTAATAAAAATAGATGGGAAAGAAATAAAAGTTTCTTTTACTTATTCATTTTTGTTCTCATTTATTCCATAATCATCCCAAAAATAGAAGGAAAGATTTGATGAAAAATAAGATTTTTCTTTTCTCTCCTAATCATTCAATTTCTTTTCATTCTCTTCCAAGAACACATTTCATTTTCTTTCTTTTCTTTCCCCTTAAAAAAAATCAAGAACCTCCTCAAAAAAATTATAAAAAACAAAAAAAAAATGAAAAAGATACATTTCCTCACATTTTCTTCCTTAAAAAAAAGTCAAAAACATGATATTAGTGATTGAGACTTAAATTTCAACGTTCAAGTAATTTTCATTGTTCAATGTGTATAAAAAGGCTATTCATAAATTTTCTTCAAATGATTCTATTATATAATCAAGAGTAAAGTACTGTCGGAGATTTGATTTTTGAAATCGGTTTATAGATTTGAATTTTGGGTTTGAATATACTTTATTCCTGGATAGAATTGTTTGATGTGCGGGCAATTAGTTTTTTGGGTTTAAATGTATCGTTAGTTTGATTCTTGACTGCCTGAACCGAATAGTTTGATTTGTGGTTTCTGAACCATCAAATAGCGAGTGAGAAAAATGAATATAGGATCGAATGGTTTATTTATGCTTGAGAATGTCGATAAAAAGTGATGTATCATATATTAATCTTATTATAAAAATCAACACCAATAAAAAAAAGGTAAAAAAAGATTAAAAAGATAACTGTCATTTTATATTTGTTAAAGAAACTAAAATAGTAACAAAATAATACCATATAAGGACACTCCGAGGGAAAAAATAATAGAGACAAAACACATACACACACTACCCAAATAACATGAACGATTCATGTAATTTACTTTATAATAATTGTTTCGACATATTAAACATGTTGAAAGATTGGTTTTTAAGATTTCGATTTTGATTTTAAGATTATACAAACCAAAAACGATCCAGATCTCACAATGATTTATCTGAAGCAAGATCTATAGTGGGATCTTAAAGTCCCAACTAGGATCTTGAGATATTAAAACAATCTGATCTCACATCTCTATTTTATTATATAGTCGAGCCTTAAAAATTTGTTTATTCAACTTGAAATAGAATATCACAGCTTTCAAGAAGCCTCATAGAGTTTTACAAATTTATTTCGAATTGGACAGGTCATACTCATGATATTCAATTTGTGATCTTAAGCCTTTAGTTGTATATGATCATAATGATTTTGTTTCTTTTTGCAATTAAGATGTTTACTTTCTAAATTTTATGGTTTGCAACAACAAAAATTATTATTTATGTTTGAAAAGTTAACGTTAACTCCATATCAACATCTTAATCAACATCAAACTCTAATGTATATTGCACACCCAATACTTAACAAGAAAAACTGAATATGAGTTTATTTTGGTAGGATTTTACGATCCCGATCCGATCTTACGATTACGATTTTGCAAAACATAAAACGATTTTATGTAAGATTCCGATTTTGACAACCTTGATTTTAAGTATATTTACTGTGTATTTTATTGTTAAAAAATCAACAGTAAAACACAATACAACACTTACCTCCGAGTTTATTCTAATATTATTTATTGAGTTAAACTGAACTCAAAATAAAAACATGAACCAATCTCAACCGATAATCTATACACATGTCTATTTATTATTGATTGCTATATTTTTGTAATAATGGGATTATAGTTTTTATATATCATGTTGCTTTTAAAATAATATTTTAATTTTTATTCATATTATGTTATACTTATACAAATATATTTAATTATTTATTGTTTTTCTATATAATTATTTATCAATATTTATTATAGTTAATAATATAATGGTCCCCATTTCCCAATTTATTTTAGTTCTTTAATTCGGGTTTTTTCCGACCCGTAAACGGAGGTGAAGATCCAAAAACACCCCCCATTCACATTCTCTCTCTAAAACCCCTCTATTTCTCTTCTCAAAAATCCAAAAGCTCCTTTAGCGTAACTTCTACTCCTTCCATGGCGAACAGCAATCTACCTCGAAGAATCATCAAGGTATTGTCCTCGACAAGCGATTTTCTTCACGGTTTCTCGATTTCGCGTGTCTCGTTTTCTATTGTTTTTTTCTCCGATCAGTTTCGTAAATTGAAAGCAGTAACTGAGCTTGTGATTTTGTTGTTTTCGTTCAGGAGACACAGCGGTTGCTTAGCGAACCAGGTGAACTTGAACACTGTTAGTTGGTTGTTAATTTTGTGTGTTTGTTACTCGGAATTTCAATCCGATTAATAAAATTGTTTTGTTGGAGTATTGTTAATTGTAATGCAAGATATTAACAAAACGAGATCGTTAGGAGAGTAAAGGTACAGTTGCAGAAATGAGTGAAGATTGATTGGAATACGGATTTAGCCTAAGTTGCAGAATGATGCCAATCATGATCTTAAATCCTAGGAATTTACCCCCTTATATATTGTATTAGGGCTCATTTATACATTAACTCAATGACAACTCAAGGAAAAAAGAAGGGTTTTGGGTTTGATGTTCATGAATTTGCTGTGTAGCTCCTGGGATAAGTGCATCACCATCAGAAGAGAATATGCGTTATTTCAATGTCATGATCCTTGGTCCATCACAATCTCCTTATGAAGGTAAATTAACTTTCTTGTATTGTTCTTGACTTCTTGTATTATTGGCTTATAGAGCTATTATTGTTGCTTCTTTTGTTTAAAGTATGCAATCTTTCTGCAAAACTATGCTTATAAGTTATATGCTCTTTACTTTCTTCCTCAGTGAAGAAAGAATTCACATCTCTTGAACATAGACTGCAGATCTATATAATCTTGCCAAATGCTTCTCATTTTATTTTAAAACATATTCAAACTTTGTGATGTGAAAGTAGTTAAAGTACTTAACTACTTATCAAAGAGAACTCTTATATTGATTGTGTATTGAATGAGTGAATTCAATAATCTAGTTATCAAAAGATTCAAAAACTTAAGATATAAGAAACAATATATTCTTCAAAAGTGGCCCATTTTATCCTTCAAAATCAAACTAAAGCTAGTTTTCTGGAATGAAGTGATTATTAAGTTTCAATCATGTTATCTTATGAAGCAAGATTGCATTAAATCATTTCCTATGTTCTAATTCAATAACCTTACATTATTTACTAAAAATATTTGTTTTTTTTGTTTCTCATGTTGCTTGTGGTTGTTGTTCTATAGGAGGAGTCTTCAAATTGGAGTTATTTTTGCCTGAAGAATATCCAATGGCTGCCCCCAAGGTACAAATATATACATATAAATTATTAAAAATAAAAAAAAACATCTTTTAGCATATCCTTATTTGAATAATTCTTTTACAACATTTAACTTTTTATGGTATTCTATTTGTTATAAACTTTCTAACAGGTTCGATTTCTCACAAAGATATATCACCCTAACATTGACAAGGTTTGTCTACTCACATAATTTTTTAACTTTATTTGTTTAAATTATTATTATTATTTTTTAATACTATTTTTTTCTAACACAGCTTGGCCGAATATGTCTTGATATACTTAAAGATAAATGGAGCCCTGCTCTTCAAATTCGCACTGTACTCTTAAGGTAAAATTATTAATTATCCATGATTTTTCATAATTAGGTGATAATATAATTCATAAAATAAAAAATTAGTTTCTTGAAATTTTGAACTATATATTTTAGTATTCAAGCACTTTTGAGTGCTCCAAACCCAGATGATCCATTATCTGAAAACATAGCAAAACACTGGAAATCTAATGAAGCTGAAGCTGTTGAAACAGGTAATTTGTGTTTTTCTTTTTTGTTCATTTGTTTAAAATTAAAATATTCTGTTTTTTTTATAAGAAAAATGATATTATAATTTTATCTGTAAAACCACAGCAAAGGAATGGACCCATATGTATGCTAGTGGAGCCTAACACAGGTATCATGTTTTTTTTTTCTCTCAAGAAAATAATATGTATAATTAGATATTTTAATTCACAATTTCCATTAGGGATAAAAGTTTCATTTTATTTCGAGATAAATTACTCTCATGTTATATTTTTCATTGGGTGGAACAAAGGAAAATTGTAATTTTTTATTTGTTAGACATTGGTTGTTCTTATACGATGTTTGATAATATGAAAGTTGCATAAAAACGAATGTGAACAATTGATGATAAAATGTCAACAATATTGAATTTGAAAATTTAGTCATAGTCTTTTCTGACTCAACTAGCAACTATCAAAGATCTTGTTTTAAAAATGCATCAAAAACTCTGGCTTGGCTTAACTTTAACCAAACAAATTCAGAAAGATGTAACACAAGCATTTGATCATAAGGCTCAAATATGTTATTCACTTTATAAGT